CCGTGTAGTATTTTCCAACCGTTAGCTGTTCTTCTTACCTTACAGCACCCGTCTGACAACAATAATTTTGCAGTAGACCGCCATTTTCTAATTTCACGATTGTGCTAATGGATTAACTTCATTTTCATAAACATATGATAACGCAGATTGTTGCTATCGTGTGTGTTTATCTGAGTCTCAGACGATTTCAAACAATTTTATGAATTGATATTTGAGTTTCCTTACGTCCTAATTACAAATTACAAACCGGACGGGCTATAATAGCGTCCGTGCTAGACAGAACCGGCGTGCTGCCAACTTGTCCGCCTAAAGCGGCGCTACCTTCATCGAGGACCTGTAACGTCAGGGCTCCGGTCATGGGCGATGCCGAGATCACCTAGGTTTATATTGGCCTTTGCGGCCTCCATCCAAGCAAGTTTATCAAGTTGCTCTACAGTGATATCGAGATAGTTGATACAATGATACAATGGGATGTCCTCAGGGATCAGTGCTAGGTCCATACTGGTGGAATATCGGCTTCGACGATTTTCTTGCGATACCAATACCATCCGGATGTACTATGAACGCGTATGCTGATGACGGCTTATTATTGAGGGGGGGGGGGGGGGGCTTGAGAGATTAAGCAATAGATGTTTAGACTTGATATCTCATTAGGATAAACGTAATCGCATAACTTTTGCACCCAACAAAACCTTTCAGCTACTTGTAAAAGGTAAACTGAAATCACCGCCGAGCATTTCATATAGATCTGATGATGGGTTACAGAGACAAACAATGGGACTCTTCAAAAAATGACAGCAAATCAATAGCGATTGCTGCTTGGTTTTTGGTGCTCTTTATTAGTATTGTTTAAAGTCGGTTCAACTGTTTTTTCAAAAAGGATTTTATCTTGTACAAAAACGAGCTATCCGCACTATGGTTTACGTGCCACTAAGAGAGAGTTGTTGACTATCTATTTATAGCTTTAGGAACTCTTACAGTTCCTAGCCTCTATATTCTACGGGTATTAAGTAATTTTGTAAAACATATAGGTAGTTTTGGAAATATAATTAAATGTGATAAAACACAACGCTAGATATCAAGCGGTACAACTGTATAATGGAGTGCCTGAAGATATAAAGCGCATCAAATACAGGTTACTTTAAAATAAAATTAAAAGCTTTACTTTTGAACAGATGCCTTAATACTATTGGTGAATTGTAACTAGAAAGAGAATTTATCTGACTTAAATTATCCAAAATACGTATATGTAGGATAACCATTGACATTATACTCGTATTATTGACCGGATGACATTGACATTATTGACCGGATGACATTGACATTATTGACCGGATGACATTGACATTATTGACCGGATGACATTGACATTATTGACCGGGTGGCGTAGTGGTTTGTGTAACGGACTGCTATTCCAAAGATCGCGGGTTCGATTCCCGCTCAAGTCAAACATTTGTGTGCATGAACATTTGATGTTTGATTTGGTCTGGGTGTTTTCTATGTATAATATGTATGCATTTACAAAAAAAAAGTATATATGTATTTATATCAGTTGTCTAGTAGCCATAGTACAAGCTCTGTTTAGACTAGATGGCGTTGTGTGTATGTGGTAGAATATTATTATTATTATCTTTATTTACTTTATATACATATTATTTACATTTTTAAATATACACTTTATAAAAAAAATACATTTAAAAATATAAAAAATAGTAGACCACCGACATCGGGTACAGGGACCAAGACACCGGTGGTTAGGACTCCAAAGATAGGAACCTCCTCACTATACGAGCCGTGTCAAGGAGGACTGCCTTCTGCATCAGACCCTTGATCCAGCCATCCAACGTGAGCCTCTTAAGGTGTTGGTCGAGGCTCTTGGCTATCAATCCATGAGCAGATACGACTATCGGAACAATGATCACTGAATCAACATTCCACATATCGACAATCTCGTGAGATAAATCCAAATATTTAATTTGTTTTTCTTTTTCAACTTTCACGAGATTCTCGTCATGAGGAACGGCGATATCAACAATCATTGCGCGGCGCTCTAATCGATCTATCAACACAATATCAGGCTTATTGGCAACAATAGTCCTGTCTGTGATAATAGATCGATCCCAATACAACGTGGCCCGACCATTCTCGAGAACTGAGTCGGGCACATACCTGTAGTATGGCACCTCTAGATTCACAAGATGGTATTTAAGGGCAAGCTGTTGGTGTACGATCCTGGCTACTTGGTTGTGCCTGTGCAAATATTCTCCGTTAGCAAGACGAGAACAACCAGAAATAATATGCCTGATTGATTCGCCAGGACGGTGGCATGCCCGACAGATGTCAACCGTACCATCTTTCAGGATATATTTCCGATAGTTATTCGTCATGATAACTTCGTCCATAATCGCACAAACAAAACCTTCAGTTTCTCCAAAGAGATCACCATGCCGTAGTCGTAGATGCTTTTAAATCTATATCGGACCCGTTTAGGGCCCGATAAAACCGACCATGGAGCTCTTTGCCCTTCCATACTTCCCTGCGATCATTAACACCAAGTACTACAGGTCTGCGCCAATTCTCTTTAGCCAGAGCGAGCGGGGTGAAGCCGGTATCCACTGCAACTACATTGCGATGCACTCCCACGTCGGTATGTAGAAAATATCCTCTGAGATTGCATACCTCGCGATTATGTAGGGTCTTGATATTTAATAGTCCGCGACCCCCAAGCTTTCGCGGGATATACAATCTCATAACTGATGAACGTGGGTGGTGCATTCGGGATGCAGTCAGCAGTGTGCGGACTTTCCTGTCAAGGGCATCTAATTCGGTCTGAGTCCATCTAAGTATACCAAAGGAATACATCAGAACCGGCATGACCCAACCATTGCAGGCTCGCACCTTGTTGCCCCCTGATAAAAGACTTTTAAGTACTTTTTTCAAGCGGCCAAAAAAGCGTTCCTGCAATGTTTGTTTCATGTTAGATTCTGGTATTCCCAACGACTGTGATATACCCAGATACTTGTAAGTTTCAGTGGCAGACAGAGATCTGAGTTTTGTTGAATCCAAAAGCTCTATTCCTTCAGATTCAACTATCACACCCTTCTTTACATACATGACTGCACACTTGTCTACACCAAATTCCATTTTGATAGAATTACTAAAGGTTTCCGTCACCTTTAGTAACTTTGTCAATTGTAATTGTTGGAGGCTAACAGTTTCAAATCATCCATATAAAGAAGGTGAGATATAACTTGATCATCTTTCTGCAACCTATAGCCTAACCCTGAACCCTCTAATAAAGTGCTAAGAGGGTTCAAAGCCAGACAAAACCACAAGGGACTCAGACTATCACCTTGAAATATACCCCGCTCGATCTTTATTAGTACATCGTGTATCGCTGTCTGCCGACATCCTGGATAGCGAAGTGCCGTTCTCCATTGCCCCATACATGACTTCAAGAAAGTGCACAGAGTTGTATCAATTTTATACAACTCCAGCACCTTCAAAAGCCATGTGTGTGGAAACCGAGTCATAAGCCTTCTTATAATCTATCCAACACGTCGCCAAACTCTTACGATTACAACGTACCTGTTGGCTAATGGTCATGTCTATGATAAGGAGGTCTTTAGTGCCACGGGTCCCACTTCTACATCCATTCTGAGAAACTGACATAATCGAATTATTATTAATATGTAAAGTAATTTTGAATCTCAGAATAGATGTTAGAAGTTTATACATGGTAGGTAAACATGTAATAGGTCGAAAATTTTTGGGATCCATGACACTACCAGACTTATAGAGTAAGTGGGTTATGCCAGTGGTTAAAAATTGGAGTAATGAACCCGAATCCAAAGCTGCCTGGAATTGAGATGCCAAACGCGCATGTGAGCTTCGGAACCACTTAAGCCAAAAGTTGTGCAGTCCGTCTGGACCAGGTGATTTCCAATTCGGTAATGAACGAACTGCACAACTTACATCATCTTTATCAATTTTAACAGGTTCCATAGGTGTTAAAGACTCACATGAGCGTCTGACATCCTGCAACCAATCACCTTCTATATGAGTGACAGGCACCGACCAGATGTTACGCCAAAATGTATTTGTGACATTTTCATCTGGCAAATGCCTATCACCCACACATGGATCCGGTTCCTCCCATTTCCATTTTATTATTATTATTATTATATTATTTGGACATTTTAAATTATTACTGTTATATTAAAATGACTCCTTTTGAAAAAAAGTTGAACCGACTTCAAAAAATACTAACAAAGACCAACTAAACGCACTGCTTCAATGAGACAGCAAGGTTTCATAAGGAATCAAAAATATAATCGAAATACTCGTATTTAATTTCTAGATTTTTGTTGATATTTCAAAAACCGATTGACCGATTTCAATACAATTTAAATGGGACCACCTGGGAAGTATACACTTTAAAAAAAAATATTTCATTGACTAATCGGTGAACGTTCATAAAAAAAGATTTCAACGAATTGAGAACATCCTCCTCTTTGGAAGTCAGTTAAAAATTATAATGCATGAATGAGATAGTGGTCTATTAAAGGGTGTTGATGAGATAATGATGACATAATTATTAAGTAATAAATATAAGTAGATTTTTTTTATTAAAAATATATGTGCCTGGGTGACTGCAATAGGCTTGTGATTATTAAGTGGGACTAAAATTATGTTGGGCAAAATGTTGGGGTTTTGAAACGTCTCTGTCCAGCCTTTTGGGGATTAAGACGTTAGTGTATGTACTGGTATGTAGTTAAAGGTGTAGAAAATTGCATTATTTAAAACAAATATTACAACTTAACATTTAAGCATACAATTTACGTATTTTCAGCTAAGATATTTTAAATAAAATAATTGTAAATATCGAAGGCTCAGACTTTGCCTGACCACAGATAATTCCAAAAGCGTCGATTAGTCTATTATCTAGTTATTTGATAACAGAAGGAACGGTTCGTCTACAAACATATTTATTGATAATAATGATGACTGAAGACGACAATATCTATGCAAGTAAAAAGAAGAAGGAGGGCAACCAATCTGGAGACAAGAATCAACATGAAAATGAAGAACAAAACACAGGACTACGAACGAATACGAAGAAGAAACGGTAACTTTTTCTCGTAGAATCATGTGGTGCCCCCACTGGGTTAAGCTTTGGGAACCTCAGTCACTCGGTGAAAACGAAAGAACAGCTTAACACCGGTTTTCTGTGAGGCCGTAGTTTCATCTTTATATAGAAAATGGAATTCCAAATAGAAAATGGAATAGTTGACCGGATATTACGTCTGAAAATAAAAAGGAAGATCGGACTGTAAAACTAGGTACTGTAAAAGAGGCAGAAGAAGAAGAAAATAAAACGTAGGAGAGAAGATGTTCAGTAGATCTCACAAAGTGCAATCAAGAGACAGAAAATGGAATACGACCGGGAAGTTACAAAGATATAACTTTTGCCGGAGACCGTGGTTCTTTTCATGGTCTGAATTGAGAAAACATTTAAAAATGTAGTCTTATTTTACGAAGAAATGATTTTTATTATGTCAGATGAAGAGGAACAGAAGTTTTCTCCAAATATTTGTAAGGTACGATACTGTTTTGCTCAAAGACTGTTTAACTGAAAGACAGGTATTGTTAAGTTGTTGACACATTTGATAAAATATTAATCCAACGATGATGAATCCAACGATATCTTCTAGTCCTGGATACGTAAAGGAACAGGAACAAACTAAATCAACGACAGGAGCATACAAAGACTCTGATGTGATATAAACAATAAAAAGTGAAGAAAATATTAATCCGGAGTATCATGGGGATTCAGACGGCTGTGTTCAGGTAAGATTTAATTTCTAGCCTTTTCTCACACTTAGCTATAAGCTTGCCCACAGTATTGAGCTACCAAATGCCAATAGACTTTTTAAATTTACATGATTTCTGTAACACTTAATATGAAAATTTTAAAACAGTTCTTGTTGTAACGGCTTAATATGATGGGGTATAAAATGTGAATGAAATAATTTCATTATGTATATTTTAAAACAATTCCAAATGTTTGTATATGTTTACAAATAAGATAGGGCGTGGGGTATGCCGAGGTCTTGGAGAAAGCCAAGGCCAAGGTTGCCTCAATGCCCTCCGGTGTAAAAACCGTTCCGCAGAAGGCGTCGCCGCCCCGTAGATGAGGAGACCCGTGAGGCGGTGCTGTTAGCGGGATACAGGGTTGCCAAGAGGACCCTTCAGGCAGCAATAAAGCGGGCCCAGAGCGGGGCCCGCCAAGGGTTACTGGAGACACTGGATAGGGATCCGTGGGGATGCCCTTTACGTATGGTTAGGGGCAAGATGCGCCCATGTGCAACACCGCTGACCCGGTGTCTTAAGCCAGAACTGCTTGAAGAGGTTGTCAACATCTGCTACTGCTACTAGCTATTGATGCCATTAATAGAGACTTGAGCAACATATGTCGATGGACAACAAAGTATGGGCTCAAAGTAAATCCTAGTAAGACGCAAATTGCAATAATGGGCAGTTCCAGACTTATCGCAAAGATTGACTGCCTTGCACTACCACAAGTGTCTTTTCAGGGAGTAACAATTCCAATAAGCAACAGTGTTAAAAATTTAGGAATATACATCGATAAAACCCTCTCATGGTATGCTCAATTACAAAATGTTAGCCGTCAAATATTTGCCTCTTGCAGCTTGTTTAAGTTTGTGTTCCTTCCAACTACCACTGAAATTGAACTTACACAATCAATTCTTCTACCCATTCTCGACTATGCCGACGTCAGCTATCTTGATTTGAACGAGGACAAATTTTATAAACTTGATAGACTTTAGAATTTCTGTATACGATTTATTTTCGGCTTGCGCAAATATGATCATGTTTCCGAAAACAAAACTCAAGTGACTCCCAATTTGCCTTCGCCTAATATTCACACCCTGTCATTGAGATGAGACACATACTGAGATCATCGGAAAATTTGACATTAGAAATTCCAAAACACTCCACAACTTTTACCGATACGTCTTTTACTGTAAAGATGCGCCTCTGGAATTCGTTACCGGAAGCTATAAGACAGGCAAAGTCAGTAGGTACTTTTAAATAACTCATTAAGGATCACTATTTATCTCTACTACTATATAGTATATAAAGTAGTATATAAAGTACATATAAAGGTTGCCTGGAAGAGATCACAGACTGCGATAAGGCCGCCTATTGTATCACTGTGGTTTTCTTGTATATGTTTTTTTTGCATGTATCCTAATTATGGTGTGCAATAAAGGGTACCTATCTATCAATCTAAACTAGAATAATGCTCAAGTAGGCGTATGAAATAATAATAATAATAATCATCATCGATCATCATCAACAACCTGTAACAGTCCACTGCTGGACATAGACCTCTCCTTAGAAAGGAGGTTTTGGGCTACTATACCACGCTGGCCAGACGGGTTGGTATAGGGTTTGTGTCAAGTTTTCCTTATATATTTTTTTTTTTTATAAAATACTAACAATTTTTTTTTTTCTAAAAGAATAATTTGATCTCTGTCTGCCACTGAAACTTACAAGTATCTAAGTATATCACAGTCGTTGGGAATATCAGAATCTGACATGAAACATAAGTTGCAGCAACGCTTTTTTAGCCGTTTAAAAAAAAGTACCTAAAAGTCTTTTATCAGGGGGCAACAAGGTGCGAGCCTGCAATGGTTGGATGATGCCGGTTCTGATGATTTCTTTGGTATACTTAGATGAACTCAGACCGAATTAGATGCCCTTGACATGAGAGTTCGTACACTGCTGACTGCATCCCGAATGCACCACCCACGTCAATGGTTATGAGATCAAGTTTGGGGGTTGCGGACTATTAAATATCAAGACACAACACAATCGCGACATATTTGCTTGACTGAGACCTCTCTGAAAGGACGCGTTTTCCTTCACGGATTGCGCGCTTTACTCTCTACACATTGGGAGATCCAACTGATCACCGAACGGAGATCACCCTACAACGCCGGGGACCAATAGCGATATACAATCTCAGAGAATATTTTCTACATACTGATGTGGGAGTGCATCGCAATGTAGTTTATTTTATACCTGGATCCTCCAACATGATTGGAGCCTGTTTCTACGTAACATTTCCATTCCAGTTCTCTCTGGTATGCTTCTCTATCGTGCTTCATACTGTATCTTTCTAGCATTCCTCTTTTCCTTTTATTCCTTTTATGGGTGGGATTCCCAAATATACGTACTACTCTAAAACTCACTAATCTATCTGCTTGTAGTCTAATGTAGTTCATTAAATTCAGACAATTTATTTAATATTAATTACAATTACAGCGTTATATACTTTACACTAGGACTTATTCTACTTCTTATTCTAAACACTTTTTATATCTAATTAAATTTTGTTGGAATTATTTTTATTATTCACTCGCGAACACGTTCGAGTCGTTCGTTCGCGACGCCTCCTATGGAGCCCTGCACACAACCCTGGCTAGTGGCTTTCTTGTACTACTCCCCAGTGTATCTTACCTGTACACATCTACATAAAGCCTGTACATCAGTGTATCTTTGTTTTAGGTAGCTATCTACCAATAGTCGGAGGTTCACGGGGCACTTCTCCTCAGCCAGACGTACTCTGATAGCGGGCCATCGTGCACTGTCGAATGCTCTTTCTATGTCCAAAGATATTATTGTGAGAATTTGTTTTTCTTTGAGTTTTGTGCGGATGTGCTGCATTAAGTCATAGAGGGAGTCTTCGGTGCTCTTCTGGGGCATGAAAACCGTATTGGCGAGTACTCATCCCGATTGCAAATAGTACTTTAGTCGGCCCACTAGTATTTTTTCGAAGATTTTACCTAATGTAGGTAATAGCCCTATTGGTCTTAATGTTTTTTTCGGTTGTGTAGCTTTCTTTCCCTGGTTGGCTCAACACCACAACAGTCGCCTCCTTCCAGGTGTTGGGGAAATAGTGAAGGGCCAAGTATGTATTTAGGAGCCGGAGAAAGGTCTCGGGGTCCTCGTTGATGGTATATTATATGTCCGCAGTGAACCCGTCTGCTGCAGGAGCCTTCCGTGGGTTGAAGGCCGACTATCTATCTACCGAGGCCTTCAACTCACTAAGCGTGAACTCCGGGTCCCCAAAAATCTATTTGTTCTCCAGTGTTCCCTTCCTCAGCTCTTCTCCTGGTTTGGCGGTGATTGGCACTGTCCGACTCCTCCAGGTGTTCCGGATAAAACGTTTCCGCAATGTGTTTCTCCGACTCATTTGCATCCAGCTCCCTTCCCTCTTTCACCATAGGCAGTTCCCCCGCTCTGACAGTGGTTCGACCGATCACCCGATAAATCCCCTCCCAGACGCCTTCCTTGTCCTGTTTTCCGCAGAAGTTCTTCCAACTATCAATCTGTGCGGCCGTTGCTGCCTACTACCTTTCTCCTTCGCACCGGGGCAGCACAACGTATTCTGTTTTTCAGAGTGGCCACCGTCCTCTTCATTTTGTTAAGCTCCTCGGAACACCACGGCATGGTGAGTAATTTTTTTGTTTTTGATTTTAGGAATTATTTCGTTGCAAGTTTGTGTGATTATATTTTAAAAGTTTTTGAATGACTGACTCTAATTCTTGTGTAGTTATAATTTTACCTATTTATAATTTTGTAATTTTATGTTCTATCTTGAATTGTTTCAATTTCTCACGAAATTGAGTCCAATTCGCTTTTCTTGTGTTTATATTTTCTTGTTGCTCAATTTGTTACTTTATGCCTAGGTTTGGACAGATGGATGTTGAAAGTACCGCTGTTGTGGTCAGAGTTCATAAGGCCTTCTTCTACTTTCCATTTGTCCAAAACATCCAAAATGTCCTGTGGTCATATGGTGATATCTATGTGGCTGGTAAAGCGTTGACCACCCCTCACTGTATCAAAGGTAGGAGTTTCCCCTGTGTGTAAAGGTTCAATTCGTGCAATGTCCCAGAAAGTTCCTCCCCTCTTCTGTCTAGCTTAGGGCTTCCCCACCAAGAGCTCTTCGCGTTTGCATCACCTCCAGCGGCCTATGTATTTTAGGTGTTCTAAATACGGTTGTATTGGTGTGTCTGGCTCGAATTAAAAAGAGACGAGTTTCACCACCCAGGTTTCCGTTTATATACTCACCACTGCAAAGTTGTTGGTGGTAAGGTTCGGGTACGGTTTGACTCTCAAGTTCGGGTCAAATACTGCGATTGCCACCTTCACCGTACCCTCCCCACAGTTAGTGTTCTGGAATATGACTCCTCATTTCTCTGGCACTACCTACATAACGTTGCTGAAGCAGGGCCACCGCGACTCTCCTCTTAACTGCCTCAAGTAGCACCTCATTTGTTGCTAGCTTTTTCCGCTGGAGGTTCGCTTGGATTATGCGGTAGGGGGTTTTTTCGCGCTTAGCTGTGTCAGCAGTAGGCTACTGCCGACCGGGCGAGTCTGTCCCACTTCCTCCTTATGGGCATTCAAGGTGGAAGGCGTTGTGGTGGGTATTCTCGAGTTTCGCCTTAGCGCAGTTTCGCCAGCACGGTGCCTCCCCCGTAAGGCGTCCTGCGCAGTCCTGGCTCATGTGCTGGCACAGTGACTGCACAAATCCGCCGCCTCCCTGCAGAAGCGCTTCCCATGCCCGAATGCCAGACAGCGCGTGCACTGCACTAACGGAGACTAGTCCTCTACCCGGATACGCTGCAGGTCGATGTGTAGCGACCCGTTTTTCAGCTTTTTCCTCCAAATAGCGGGCTGTTACGCCGGATAAC